GAAAAATATGTTTTATTAAAGTTGTAAATCAGATAAGAAAAGAAACTGCAAATCATTTAGTGCTCTTTTGTTCAATCAAATCATTTTTCTATCACTTATTTTTGGGGTAATGAATCATCCATTATGCTATCCTTATCAAAATTGGCATGCTTATTATTGAATAGAAACCACAAAAATGCAAAACAAAAGATACTTAGAGCCGATTGACAACCCTATTTTATGCATTCCTCCATGCCTAAATATTTATGGAAATGCAAATAGCCCTATCCTTATGTGTGTATGTATGGCTATTGCTATTGGAATTTCCAGATATCCACCTAAAATCTACGACATCCAGGAACTCCATTCGAGAGCTTTCTAATGTCATGAGATATTACTCCAATCCGGCCAGTAAATCCACGGATCTACACAATCTATTACAGATGCCTTCGACTAGAATATAAGGCATTGATTGAGACAAGGCGATCAATATAAATTCCAAGTCTCCAGCTAACACAAACATCGTTTACCATTTGTTCGGGAGCCATGCTTGTGACTCGATCCTTCCAGCCTCTGCATATATTCCCACAGCTTTCCTGAACTGTTGTCTTATGCTGGAGTTGGCCATCCAAACACCACCCTCTGCAACTCCAACAGTTCAAGAAAGCTGTGGAAAGAGATGAAGAGGCTCGTTTCTGCTCTTCTTCCACTCCGAAGACGAAGGAAGGATCACGCTAGAGAGAGAGAGAGAGAGAGAGAGAGAGAGAGCCTCGATAGATCGCCAGGTTCGACTTCTGCCTTCTTGTCATTTGCTTTTATAGCACCCAAAAAGTTAGCAGCTTCATTATTATCACGGTGTGTTGCAGTACCTCTGATGAAAGTTAAATCCTCATTTCTGCTCCAACCTCTTCTGCTTCTCGACACCGGTAACCCTTTCGCAGTCTCTTGGCCACCAACATATTTTTCACATCAACAAGAAAGGATATACCATGCTATAGCCATAGCAAACTCTAGTTTCACCGCAGGCTCCTCACTGGCATCCGATGAACGTGGAATGGTGAAACTGTAGGACACGATGACAACGTCCGCTTTGGCTTCACTTTAATTGCAGTACACCGAGGAGAGAATGGGTAACTATGACAGTGATAATGTTGATCCAAGATACACCAATGCTCATCATTTCCTTGTGTTAATTTCCATAACCCTACAAAGATTCTGCAATTTAGGGGTTGGATTTTGGAGAGATCTGATGTCCGGAGGAACTTTCATTTTACAGATATATAGAGTTGAGATGTGCGTACGTATACATGGCAATGAGTTTGGGAGAAACCTCAAACGAGAGGACTCTTTTCGCTTTACCACGCCATGACCGCAGGGGAACAACCTACTTTCCCATACGTTGCTGGAGAAGATACTGTGTTGTGAGCCACTACACATATATAGGACAACGAGGGTTCCCATGATCATGAGGAGTCACGTACTATTCTACAGAAGAGCAGTATGGCCTGCAGGGATTGATAGGATCCAAGCTTTGTGTCTTCGGATGATATATAGTACCCGAACTCAGTCCCATATGCATACATACCATGCTAACTTTCTCCTCCGCACAAGGGGAGCACGATGCGCTCGCATGCTGCACCCACTGTTACCGTGTAACTCGTCGGGCTGATGAACACGCAGCCACCGTAGAGATGAAATCTAGAAATGGCAACAATAATGGATCCACCGACTGTGCCGCCCACCATATATGTGCAGCAAGAACAGCCTGTTGCAAGGTCCCATGACTGCGACCCATCCCCCGCAGAGTTAATACCTTTCGTGCACTCACTACTGCTGCTATTTGATTAAGCTCGGTGCTACTTTACTCTGATGGAAGAAGAGGAACTGCGAGACAGGTTGTCGTGGGGTAGGGTTTGGTGGTGCATGGAGCAATGTGAGACTGAGCTCGGAGATGGAATCAATCTTCTGGTACCACCGGTGAATCAGCCCCAGAGGCATCTTTGCGTTGGCCGGCTCCACCGTCACATGATGGCTTGTCGATCCATCGTTGTAGTCTTTCGGCACGCCTACTGTTGGCTCATATGTTCCCGTATGGCCTCGTGGCTCCACGATAAGGCTGGCTTGTAGTTACTCTTCCTTCAGCTGGCGCGCGGAACAACTCCTTCGAACGCGATTCCTGGATTTTGCCGGTGGTGGCGGTGAGAGGACTGTCTCTTCTTCGTCGTCGTCACGCAATGCAAAGCGCCATTCTTGCTACGGGTGGGACGGGGACTCGCAACGAGGAGTCGCCATCCATCGTGCACTGTTCTTACTACGCGTAAAACTAGCTGTAGAATGAACCCAAGGTCTGGGAGTAAATCGAGATGGTGTTTCGACTCAAAAGCATTAATCGCCAGAGAACACCAACGACCATAATTGTAGCTTGTAGATAAGGTCTATTATGATCACCTTGGCCTGGCTCTGTAGTCCGGAATATTGTTGTAATGATGAGAAGATCCGTACTACGTTTCTGTAAAGATGATCTGCTGCGTGTCAAACCCCATTTACCTCGTATTACCAACAAAGTGAAGTACTCGGAGCATTCATTCATCCTTCTCACAACAAAGCGAAGTAGGGTTGCTTTGTTTAATGGATCCACCGCTGGAGATTCCCGTTTAGGTCATTGAAGAACCTCACTAGCCTTTTTGTTTTGTCTGTTCATATATGTTCTACCTGGGATGAACAAGTGTACAAATTCATCATGATGCAGCGGAAATCAGTAAAGATACAACACGGTTTGGTGGTATACATCATCATGGCATAAAATCAGAGTTCCCAGACAATCTTTTATGCTTCATCTTGGCAACTCGGTTTCTGACAGCGCTGTTCTTTAGGATTAGGAGGAATCACGTTCGATCTTCAAAAGAACTGTTGAGAAACAGAGCCAAGGAAGGATTTTCGCATAAAACAGAGTAGATTTCTTTCACATAATTGGCATTACAATACTTCAATATTTTTCTTAGAGAAGAAATCTAAATTTCAAAGAACATTAAATCTCAGCAGTTTACAGGTTGTTCACCAGCGAAACTTGCTCTCAAAGTCGCAGGTAGGTTCCCTCCCCTGTCTCCATTAGTTTTCCTACCAAATGATGTATTCAAGATTTTTCATATATGATGTTTTCCTAGAAGAATCAACACACTCTTCTATAGAAATATCCTCTTACCTTCATATTTCCTTCCTCTGACGGAGGCTGCGAAATTTCCTATTACTAGTACTTGGAAAATTTTGTTTCGACAAGAAATGATGTCTCCTCTGTTTTTTCTTGGCTCTAATACCTATTCTCAGGCGACAATAGCCATTGCATGGCTGCTACAGTTCTCCAGGTGTTGGGTGATGCCGCCACCGATGGCTGTCGAGCACATACATTCCATGTGTCCCTAACGAAACTTACTCCAAGCTCAAGGCTGACATCCTCATCACTGGAAAATATTAACAATTTCTACTGTGATATTTCTCTTTTGTTCTACAGTGATAGGAACACTATTTCTTGATGAGAATTGAGTTTAAAATCACATCCTTCCATGTTATATCTACAATGCTATGCTTCGAGTCTTCCTTTTTCTGTGAGCATTAAGCTCAGCCATGAAATCATTGTTCAAGAAAGCTATCGTTCTTGTTGTACTTCTGAATACAAGATGAAGGAAACGAATAGGTCTAGATGTGCAAGAATGATTAGGGTAGATACTTCCTTCCTGATCACCACATTCAATTCCCTAAGAAACATTCCTTACCAGGGAAGCATTTGTAAGTTTCTTTACAGTTAGGATTGTTCCCAAGGCATGTAGGGCATTGGTTGTGGAGAAACTTTATGAACCTTGTATGTGACAGTTAATGATTGGTACAATGTTTGTCCTTCTTCCTTCACCAAAGCCTAATCATCACCAAGCCATCACATGTAAAATTTTTCTACCACTTGGATTGTAAAGAGATAAGGAAACAATTAGGACCCTCAAATAATTCAGACATCTTTGCCTTCTTCTCTTATTCTTCTGACACTCTCCAAACTACATCATTTTGGATCTCTCTCATGTTTTTTCTGCAAAGCATGCAAAGAACAGAGGAGGCTTCTGATAGGCCAGTGATGACATGCATGCAAAGTGGTCACCACCCCAAAGGTTGGCCTCTCACCATACCCACTCTCTCTCTCTCTCTCCCTTTTGTTGTTAGCTCTTTCCAATGACAGCTTTTACAGCAAAAATGAACATAAATCGCACGGAGGTTATATGTATTGTTGTCACTCATTCCAGCCTAGAAAGCTTTGCTGCTTCTTGTGTAGGCATGAGATCGGAGAGAAATGGAGTTGCTGCCTTCCAAGTCCGTGCCATTCCCTTCCACAGCTTTCTTGAACTTCTCCTGTATAACCCTCCCTCCGACACAGAGGTGGGAGGAGGAAGCGAAGAAGAGGGTCAAGAAAGCTGTGGGAAGGGATGACAATTCAGGGCTTCTTTCAATGCGGAAAGAAGACAATTTACATTCCTCCTTCGCTAAGGGATGAATACAGATTGAATTCACCGATTCCTTGTCGAAAATTTCAGCATCAGTTAGTCAGTTTCTCTCTTTCTATTTTAGTAAGACCTGCTCACAGTTGCTCCTCTTACATTTCTATTGCCAATTGCATATATCTACCATCTTGAATCTGCTACCAAAGCGTCTCGATATGTCTTTCGATGTACTAAAAGATGCTTCTTTTCAGCAGTTTTCATTCTCGACAATGGTTCTCCAAATGGCCAAAGAAAAAAGTGAACAGCATAACTAAGTCCTTCAAAGTATTCGGATTTGCCAAAATCTTTGGTCTTATAGGCACTTAAGTCCGATATTTCTTTAGCAGTTCGACCGAAGAACACAGTCGATGAAAAATCGATAATTATGCTTCATATTTCAGCCTGTGATCCACACGAATGCTTGTCCCGCTACTGAGAGTTCTTCCGTCCAGCATGGAAAAGATCTGATAAATACAATCGAGCAGCTCATTCATGATGAGCAGGATCTACCACTGGAGGAAGAAAACTGCAAGTTCATCGAGCGACAATGGAGAAAGCTGTACTGAGTTTTCTTCTCACGCACAGTATGTCTGCTTTCACCATTCCTCTGTGAACAGCGATGCAGCCTGGACTTCACAAGCAGATCAGGATGCAGTTTCTGAAAGGCTGGCGTTTGTGGATCGAGCAATTCCATGTCCTCTCGGTTTTACTTTACTCGAAGCAGAGGAAGACTGCAGCTTTTTTCTGATACCCATTTCTCCCTGCTAATCCAATTCCTGGTTCCACTGCTTGCTGGTAATCTACAGGAACATGTAGAAAGGACATTGCAGCAGAAGAATTCTCCTGCAGAAAATTTCCATTCTGTTGTCTTCGAACACACTCTTCTTATATAAGCGCTACAAGTGACATCAGCTACACTAACCAAGATATCAACTTCATATATAAGTGATGCAAGTTCATGAGTCCATCACATGTATATGAGTCCATCACTGGAAGTTGGTGAGAGGCAACCCTTCACTCAGCTTCTGAATTCAGGATGAAGATTCATGTCTTCGGACATCATGAAGAGCTTTAATTAGAATTGGTTGTGCACAGTCTCATCTCCGAGAGGTCACCAGCACTGTATAATCGATCTATGGTGAACCTTTCGAAACAACTCATTCACTGCTATCGATGTGAACACATACATCTTTGTCTCATCTCCGAGGCATACAAGTTCAGAAACATACCTTATCACTGCAACGCATCATATTTTCCTTGAATCATATGCTGCACTGTCGCGAGATGAGCGTCGAAAACCAATCGGAAAAGCCATTGCTTCGAACATGGATCGTCGTCTATGCACATCAAATCCACAGGAAACAGCGTACGCCAAACATTTGGTTCCAGCCAGGGTTGGTGGCACATCAGATCGAGCAAAGCCCAACCAGTGGCGTGGGAGGAGGTGACCGAATCCACTAATCGGAGGCTTTGTTTATTAGTCCCCAAGCAACAGCGTGATTAGATTAAAAAGGATTTGTGGTCAGGTCGATGTCTCCCTTCGGCCCACCGTCGCCGTCTCATCCGGCTGTCTTGTTGGGGCGCATCACCACCTCCTCTCCGACCCATAGCACTTTCCCTCTTAGTGTTACGTTCCCCGTTAATGGTGGGCGTGGAACGCTGGGCTCTGACACCGTCTGACTCCCGTTGTGCCCCCACTTTCTTCTTTATTCATTATATGTACTGCACAAGTGATTTGGAGTCGGCATTGGTTGCTCGAGTCGATCGTAATTCTTCTCCTGTAATCTCAGGTTTGATCTAATGCTTCTGATCCTGTGGAATGATGATAGGTTAGGGTTCAGTCATGGCTTATATTCTTCTCGGGATTGAGTTCTCAGTCTGCACCCAACAGTACTCCTCTCTTCATCTATAAATAGCCATATCTTCTCCTCCCTCACTCAATGCTAACAGCGTCTCTTCTTCTTAGCTTCTGCCCTCCTCCTCCTCTCTCTCCCTCCGTCTCATGGAAGCTGTTTACGTATGATCCTATTTGCAGTCTTCCACAGCTTTCTTGAACTGCATCTGTTCTTCTCACTCTGGGAAATTGCGGTTCAATAAAGCTGTGGGAAACTACAGGTGGAGATCAAATAGCAGAATTCTGCGTGCCTCTCCGCAACCTTTCTTCTTCACTGAACATGTCTCACAGGTAGGTGTTGGTGCTTTATAGGTTGCTCTTTGATTCAACGGCATCATGGCAGAAAACATATGACAATCGATTTAGTAGATCTAACATGAGAAGATCAGTCGTAACTCAATGATCGAGCTTAAAACTCCACCAGTTGCATTCCACATTCCAATTTCGGTTCATAACTATTCAGATACACCCACATCTTCTTCTTCTTCTTCTTCTTCTTCTTCTTCTTCTTCTTCAATCTACCAAAGATAGTCATGGAATCATATACTTGCAATGATTTGTACCAATTTTGTTCCCTCATCATGAGTTGTTTGTTTATACTCTTTCCTTCCATATTTGCTGTAAAAGTCTTGATCTATTTTCATTCATCTTGATGATAGCTACTGGTTCTGTAAGATGGAATGAATTTTGTACATGACCTCAGGCATCTTATGCACACCAAAACACCATCAGCCAATTGTTCCTTTCCTTGTTTTTATGGTATACATTCAATTATATATAATGATTTCTTTTTCTTTCTCAATCTACTCTCATCCTCGTTTATACAATCACTACTGCTCAGCATGTTCTACATAAAATGATGTATAATTGGAAGAAGATATCATAATAAAGAGGTGTATCCCAGCATGATGTGTATATCCATAAACTTGTACAAACTAAAAGGACATGATTCATTAACCTTTCTAATCCGATCCGGCTGTCATTCTACTTCAGCAGATCCATGTATTTATGGATAGATGCATTTTGGAGGGCGGCTTAGCCCTCAGACGTAACTATTTTGGTTGCTTGTGATGCTTAGAGGCATTGGTTGTACTCGCTTCTTGTAGTAAATATCTCAGATCACTCATCATTCTACCTTAAATCCATCTACTACGTTGATACTGCGTTATAGATGATCTCTATCCGAGCGATCATTCTACCAAATTTTATATGCTTCTAAATACATAAAAACATAGAGGGAAAAAGAAGGAAAGGAGAACTGTCCTGCAGCGGAGAGATCTTTGTTCTAAGGTTTACGACGGACGAGCTTCATGTTCTTCTGCGACATACTCTCGAAGCATGCATGATTTGTATCATTACATTCGTACAGCAGCGGAAAGAAACACGAGTGAGAAGATAATGACATACTTGTGATGTGAAGAACAAATGCAAAATTTGAATCATTAGCTATCAACCACAATCAATTCCCATCTTCCCCTCAGTCGTCCAATTTCCCCACCGATGGATCTAAATTTGCCTACACTTCGACCACTACATTGTGAACTCTCTGATCACCCTTGGGCATGGCTTCTAAATGAAGAGCCAGGAAACCAGAAGAAGAATCATAAGCGAACTCTACATCCACAGAACCCAGCGAACATCTCCTCGGCCTAACGGAGGAGTATGCTCCAAATCTCCCGCATCCCTTGACTTCCATGCATATTATTGCAAGAGCATCGGGTCCCCTGTTCGCCGGCGGCGGTGCCTCGTTCGACTCGCTACCGCCGAATCCTGAACCGGACTCCAACATGCTGGCTGCACTCAGAACATGGTATGTGAGGCCTTCTACTGCTGCTCCAGCGTTGAACATGTCCGCCAGGCCTATCGGCGCAAATCTGATACCAGGTGCCAGATCCTGCATCACAAGCACAGTGATTGATGAGAGAGGCTGAAACGATCCTCGGTTTTCAGAAAGACAAAAAAAGCGCCTGGCTGTGGGAAACGAAGCTGGCAGACCTTGATGGGGGAGACTGTGAAGATCTCATGCTCCAAAACCTTCAAGGAGACGGGCATGGCAGCTCTGAATGGGAGGAGGACAAGCTCTCCGTCTCTGTGGCGGAAGGCAACGCAGTCACCTTTCCAGTCTCGGTCGGTTGCAGCCTCGGAGACGAGATGCACGTCACTTCCTCTCACGGCGCAGGTCAGAGCCTCTGATGTTGTTTGGTGGAACATGTTCTTCTTCTCCGTGGAGCTCCACGCTGCACCTTGGCAATTGAAGACCCCAAGAACTCCGGTGTACTTGTTCATGTTCCATATCTTGAGCAAGCTAGAACAGAAGTAGAGCATAGCATTAATATGTATATGTATGATCATCTCCGTGAATCATGAAGGGATCACCGGTGCACACCTCACACCATCACGAGCAGGATCAGAGAAGAGGCAATCACGCGTAGGACGACCGGGCAATCGAGCGCGAAGAATGGATCCATCGGGCAACACCAATTTCTTCAGCAACTCAAAGTTGTGCTTTCCGGGGGCATCACTATACGACCAAAAGATGGAACTCAAATTAGATGAACAACGCAAGCAATTTACTCCTACCAACAATCGAGTTCTCGATAACTCACCTTACGTATATCGGTCCTCCACTAATCGCTCGAGCTGATGCATGGTACTCTGCTGCCGGATGCAGAGAGTGGAACATGTCCCAATCAGGGAGCATGATCTCACCGAGGAAGATGCTGTTGTACGCAACTGAGGCGATGTGGATGGTGTGCGACACCGAATCCCTCGGGTAGAAATCATCCGACGCCCGCACCACCGCCGTCTGCTTCGAGCTGGATTCGTTCAAGCAGCAGCACCACCAACGAATTATATGTTAGCACCATGTTCTTACCCTGCTATCTGAAATCGAGAGGGAGGAGCACAGACCAGTAGAGAGCATCGGTGTTGTGGCTCATGCAAGCGATGCAGCCATTGTCCGGGAAATTCTTGGCGATCGATGCATCGAGAGCCCGGTGGTACTGTCGCGTCAGCTCCACCCTCCCACCGTGTCCGGCACCGAGGGTCTCCAAGATGCACTGCACGTCGACCTTGACCCCGTCGATGCCGGCGGCCGCCAAGTAGCGGTGGAGCTCGTTGTAGAACTTGTATACGCTCTTGGGGTGCACCAGGCCCAGCCCCTGCATCGTGAGCACGTCCGTCTTCATCCCCGGCTCGTTCTCCACCACTCCCGGCGACACCTTGGGGTACTGCATCTTGGAATTGTAGTCCTCCATCCCCTCGACCCCCGGCCGCACTCCGCCCCAGTACCCAGTGATCGCGTGCCATACGTAGACATACTTGAGCCCGTACTTGTCCTTCGCTGTTTGCACGATTGTCTTGATCCCGGCGGCGGGATCCTCCTTGCTCTGGAACTTGCCGTTCTCCTTGATTCCGGTCAGCCGTAGCAAAGGACTCGGCTTCTCTGGCTCTTCTGAGGATTGATCGGAGCCGACGGACTGCCATCCGTCATCGATGATGACGAATCGCGGCGGGGCGCCGCCGGTAGTGAGGCTTCTGAGCCCGGCTTCGACGCCCTCCTGCGTGACGTCCTGGTAGAAGGCGTCCCACGTGCACCAGCCGAAGTAGTCCACGACGCCCGGGAGCTTCTTATCGCTGCGGTGGCGGAAGGACTTGAGACGGGACTTGACGGCGTCGATGGCGCCTGATATGGCTGCAAAGGGGTCGGAGCTCGCGGCGCCGACGAACAGGACGTGGGAGAAGGAGGCGGACTTGGTGTCGTCGTCGCCGCTCTCAAGGCACAGCTCCAGCTCGTCGCGGGAGTTACCCTGGAGGCAGGCCCGGAAGGGGCCTTCGACTAGCGGGAGGAAGACGGTGTAGACAATCTCATCGCTGCTGCTGCCGCTGCCATCCATCGCCGTAAGCTGAGATCCATCCTTGGATTCAAGGAGGAGGAATTGGGTCTCATGGGGGATGTCCCTCCCCTGATCGCCCATCTTCTGAGCCATCCACCACAGCTTGAAGCGGAAGCTCGCCAAGAATCGAACATCTCTGCAACGATTCAAGATCCAAAACACTCAACCAAATAATGCGCTAAGCAACATAGCCTTCTCTGTAATCGATAACAGAGTATCCACGGCTAACCTCAGCGTGCCAAGAGACACGACATGACGACATGACGGCTCAGAGAACTGAGTGCCGAGGAAGATGCCGTCGACGGGGCCGGAGCTGACGGCAGAGCTAGAGATCACGTTCTCAGGAACGCCGGAGAGGACGGTGCGGTCTTTGATGACCAGTTTCCTATCAGAAACCCAGACTGTTTTGGTGATCGTCATCTCTTTGGGCTCTCCGACAAGCGATCCCGATTCAGATGCTGCCTAACCACAAATCATCGGTACAAAAGGCATCGAAACAAGATGAAACGAGAATGGGTATCCGAGAGATCAAATCGATACCTTGGAACAAAAGGTGGTGAAGGGAGTCGAGACAGGAGAAGACAATCTAGGAGACACTGCAACAGATCTGGAAGGAAAGAACGAGATGAATCGAGAGAAGTAAGGCGGTTTTATAGGGAGGGGAGGAGAAGGGAGGCGGGCATAAATGGCACTGCCCCTCATTCTAATTGCAAGGGGTGGACAGATCTGGTGGTGATATGCTCGATGCAACACGGGCAACCTCTGTCGACCTGTCGAGTTGCAGATGGGCACGCAGCGGCACACAAGTAGGGCAGAGAAAGGAAGGGTAAGGGATGAACCGTGAGAGCACGCAGCAGCGGATGCGATTGTGGATGAGAACAACACGTCGGATCCAACGAAGCCGGGTGGTAACAAAGAGAAGGCGAATGGGAGACGAGATGACAGGACGCGTCATGGGAGGGAGGATGGGGCGGGCTAGATATCGCGTCGTGTGACAGATGACGGCGGTGTTGGATTCGCGTTGGATCCACGTGAATCTGGTGGGTTACTGAGTAGATTGTGACGGTGCTGCTCCCGCTCCCTGTTCGTTTCGCTACGGCACGACTCTTGGCGTGTTTTGATGGTGTGGTATGGGCTCCGTTTGGGCCGTGTTCTCGTTATGTGATATTTTAATGCAATTTATCGGAAAAATAACTCTTTATTTTTTCGTTCTGGTTTTTGCTCCTTGTTATTTGGTGTAGTATTTTGATCGATTCCTGACCTTTGATATTATAGATTAATCAACTAAAATTAATAAAAATATTTAGAAACACTGATATATCAATAAGGAAACCAAATTTGTTGATATTGATATATATTAGAGTAATATACTTATATTCCACCACTTCAATTTGCCCAATCCAATTTCAAAGAGACACCAGAAAAAAAATCAGGCCAAGATAGGTTTTGAACCCATCTTCAAACTTCGTGGAATGAGAATTTGAATTCTCATCTTTTAGCAGTAAGTAGGTGTACGATTTTTAACTTTTAATTTTTGATAAGTAAATCTAAAACACTACCAGAGATATCTTTTATGTTTTAAAGCCCGTCCGATGTTAATTCAGTATATTATAACTTCTGTGGCTTCGAGATAGCTATGAGGTGGAAGTATCGAGCTTTGGAGACATCACCTGCACTAAGACCGATGTTGGGAAAAATTTCCTAACCCAATTCCTCCGGCGCTTAAGTTAGTCACTAAGATCTTTTTCAGATATGGATTGTTCTAAAAAAAAAAAAGTCATTCCAGAATAGTATTGGGTTTTTCTTGAAAAAAAGTCATCCTAAAGATTTCTTTGATCCACTCACAGAATGTTGGATGGTTGATAATGTCTTATTGTCAGACAATGATTTTGTCATCTTAATTGTGTATTTAGTCATTAGACTTAAGACACCAAAGATGTCCTGTATAAGTACTCTACTCTTTGATACCAGACTTATAGGTCTGAAAGTTCCAAATCTAATACGTCCAATCATCGGGAATGGCAGCTAACCTTACAAAGGCTATTGTGTGTCGATATAGAATCATTCGCTTTCAGTGTCATAAGAGAAATATCTCATGTATTCTTGTTCAAACAAATCTTTAACTATGGTCATTTGAATTGAGAGAGAAAAAGTTCTCCGAAAGAATCCGATTAAAACGAGACTCGAGTAAAAACTATGTGGGCCTGACAGCACCATGCCCAATATATAATCTCTGGGATATTAGATGGATGAGAGACTATAGATACACTATGACTGAAGACAGACATGTCCAAAGGATTGAATCCACATATATCGTTTAGGGATTGCAAGTAGTGGCATAGTACGTTCGTAGTCGATAAGTCGAGTGAACTATTATTGAGATAATAATTCACTAGGCTAGAACGAGTACTAACAAGCATGATTCACAGTCAGCTCGATATTGAGCCTAGAGGGTCACATATATATAGTAGGTGTTGTGACGAGTAGAGGTTTAGATATGAGATATTTGTTAGAGTTATTATCTTATTGGATATCCATTGAGCCTCTGAATTATTGGATCAAATAGATAAGAGCCAATAAAAGATTATTAGGTGACTTGGATAGTTGGATGGAGATATAGTACCCAATATGACATGATCAATTATAGTTAAGTTAACAATGAGCCTCTATAAATATGATAGAACTAAAGGGCTATGAACTATGTTCTTTTTGGCTACCTTGTATGTGTAGTTTTTTCGTTTTACTAGTTTTTGTGTACCAATCTTTGCATGACGATGAAACCTTATTTTATGTTCTTCCACTATGCACATGATGTCATCTTAGATTTCCCAACAATAGGTCCATTGATGAAGATGTTGATCTACCTCTCTACCGACCCCTTAGGTTGGGGTGACTGTCCCCGATGCCTCCGAATAAACCTCTTGAGGTGTCCTCGATAAATGATTTCTTCGATTTGCTCCTTCAAATCGTGATAGTTCTATGTGTCATAGTCATAATTAGGGTCGAAGCAACAATACTTGAATTTATTCCTCTTCTCTATATTTGTCTTTATCGATTGAGGATTTTTTAAGTCCTTTTTTCCTTTATCTGTAAAAAGATTTTGGTTCTAATCATATTCAAAGGAGTCGACTCATCTTGAGTGAGATAGCTTAGGTCGATCATTTCTTCTATGTCGTGGTGACCTCGAGGTTGGGGCCAATGGTAGTCACTAATGTCTCAGCTTGTTATATTTTCTCACACTTACTCGAGATCATTACCTCTACGATAATGTATTGATTGACCTTTTGGAGCATCTTGAATATTGTCACTGATGGCCTCTCTACCAACGACCAGAAAAAGTAAGAGAGCTTGAACGTTATCATGAAGGTCTCTATTACAAGTAATATATGAACTTCTTGCACGTCTCAGATCTTATTAATGAATCGAGCAATGAAGTCGGAGAGTGTTTCTTCCTCCCCTTACTTGAGTCCACGAAGTATCACTGCCAATGGCCTCTTAACGTTGTCGAGAAGACATGACACATCTGGGCTTTCGTGGTGCTGTACAGTAACATCTATGTGTGAAAGACAATAGTGTGCTCTATCAGATCGGTACTATCCTCAAAGATCTCTAGCAATAGGAAATGAAAGTTTATCGAGATTGACTCTTCTTCCTGGATGTTTTGGGTGAATAGAGACCCGCCCAAGATGAGATTGTCCGACCTTTTCTCTCAGGATTGTTGGATGAAAGATTATAACGAGTTTGTAATGGAGTGTTGAAATAATATATTAATTTTTTTTCTTTTTAAAACAAAGAAAAAAGGTATATCATATCATAGGGTTGAAAGGCTTCACGTGAGCCACGTTGGAAAGCGATTGGCTTCTTCTCTGGAAACGATGAAAATGGAGGATATTTTAGGAGGAGGTGGAAGAGACGTCAAGGAAGCACGTAAAAGAATACAAGGAAACAGTTGGCCGTTAGCGATGGATAAACTTGTTAATATTTTTAATATCTTTGACCGAATCAAACACATCGATACAGACTGATCTTATCGGCAAATAATGGGCCACCTCAATAATTATTATTTAAACTTACTAATTTTTGAAACGTAGAGAGATTGTTCTCCCTATTTCCTTTCTCAATAGTTTTATATATTTTTTATTTTAAAAATAATAATACTAAAATCTATTACTTATACATCAACTTGACACACAAGTCATATCACTTATAACACTAATCAATGAAATATTTTGTAACAAAAGTCTTTTACTCTATTTCCTAAAATAATTTTTAACTATAGCATCCATCCTCCACCAATTTCTAAGGTTACGAAATTTTAAAAGGCCCTCCCAAGTGACCTTTTCATTTCAAGACATTCTTGAAAACATAAAAAAATATTCACATACATTAATTTCAAGAAATTTATTCCCTCACGAGAAATGTTTTATATTAGACAACACTTTCTCATCGGTTCACTGTATTTGATTCCCATATCCAACCTAAATTGTTCTATTAGACATCGACCCCTGCATAAGGCATCATCGGCTCTACTATCTCAACTTCAATAATCTCAATCTTAAGAAAATGTCCAAATTCACCATGGTGAAAGAATTATCCAACATCAATCAACAAAAACCGTTTTAAAAAGCTTGTGATAACTATTTCTCGGTTCAGATACTAGTTTGAAATAAGAAACCATGAGAAAGTTGGCAGGCAGGGAAGAGAGGAAGACAGGAAGAAACTGTTCATCTGATTTCTCTTGCTAGCTCAAGCAGGAAATGATATCAGATTGATCAAAACCGACATCACCAATAATAGAGAATATCATTTTAATTACAGATCTTTCCCAAAGGTAGTCACATCAAATATGTCAACGGACGAACTGAAACCAATATAATGCACGCACACTCAATAGATATGTTGGGTTCACAACTTGTAACCACCATAGGAGAAAAAAAAAAAAACTCATTCTACCTGATACAAGATGGCAAAGCGATGCCATGGCAGACAAATGCAAGCACGACATATATTATGATCAGGATAAGTAGAATCAGAGCAACCCTGCATCACAAATATTAAGTCAGAAGATGATCTTATAATAAAGCCTAAAAACTGAATGCTTCCTAAAAGAATATAGGAAAAGGCAGTAACATTTACAAATGCAATAAGGCTGTAGATGACTAAGTTGTGCACTTGAGTGAATGCCTATAACAGGAAGTATTGTCCACAAGTATTGGAGTAGTGTGCAATGAACTACAAAATTGTAGAACAGAATAAACTTCACAGTGCTACAACTCGATCCTAATGTTACACCAAAACTCAAAATTTAAGCTGTTTAAATCTGTGATGTGTTGTAGAAACATAAGGGCGTTTCTGATGAGAATATTCTCATCATCACTTTGGATTGCTCCATGTGCCCCTGTTGAGGAGAGCATAGGATGACGATTTACTTCTAGCTTGAAAGCATGGATCTCAAGATGTGATCTTGAACAAAAAGTTGCAGATTAGAGCATATTAGGCTTTAGCAAGCAGTTAACTAATGTTAGATATAAAAGATTCTGCTTATAATTCATAAGAAATATTTTAAGCTCCGGGTATTATGGCTACGGAATTATAAGATTATAAAGAGGGTAAAGACGAGACAACAAGGTTTTAAATACCAGTCTGATACCAGTTTCAACTTGTTGAACAGGTACAATACTGAGATACTGAGGTATGTGTACAGCCTAGTATCATTTGAAAAAGAATACCAAAAAATAAAATAAGAGGTAAACCAAGCGAGACTAATAGAAAAAATGCCAAAGTCAAAAAAGTAATAGAAAAATGCATGGAAAATAAAAAGTCAGTACTTAAAAATTTTAATGGGAAAATTTCATACGTGAGTTTAACATTTCTCCACCAAACAGTATTCCTAAAACGACGAGCTTGTTTCCTAAAGCGAATAGTGTTTCCTTGCATGTTTGTAGTTTTGTCAACCAGCAACTCCAATCGGTCTCCTCTTTCTAGTACTTTGTCAATATTCTCTATCATGACATCGCGCACCTGGTATTTATACAGCCATCAGAATTAGTTATCAATTGGTCAAGAAGTTGAAAGTTAGAAATTGGTTAGATGCTGCTAAGGTAGAAAGTGACTAGTAGACACTGCTAATATTTCAGATAAAAGAAGACCCAGACTGCAAAAACAGTCAACATGGTTCCATACAATGAGAGAGTACAAAATTATAGTGGACAATTAGCCAAATGAAAAGTATCACATCAATTGAAAGCAATAACCTAATGTAGCATGATGGATCAATGGAAGTCATCAGCCAGTTTGGTGCATTATGTATACTGAAGCCTGTAAAATCACATGCCAAGGTACATTGTTCCATTAGATGTTTGATGTTGGATAAAGGTCACCGGAATACAGACTGAAGTGACATGTACCAAACATGGATCGATGGGCTACTGCATGATTCCTTCCTACTATGCATGATGAATTGACATGAATCTAACAGACTGATGGGCACTATAGTATTAAGACAAACTGTGGATCCTATTCCGAATTCTGAAAATGTTGGATGTCATATAAAGGTCTAAGAAAAATTCTCATATTATATATATATGTATGTATGTATGTATATACACACACATATAGATGTCTATATGTATGTATGAATATTAACACATCCATTTATATGCATTTATAAATTTGTATGTTTGTATATAGTATGATGTTCACCAAATTGAGCTTTCAATCACACTGCATTAATATTGAAGCAGAGGCACCAACTTGTCTCTCGACTCCATAAAAATAATCCACAGTCGCCAATAAGATATGAGCAAAAATTGCTGTGTTTCAAACTCTCCAGATGATATATCAAATAGACAAAATCAAACTTGCATAATGAAAGAAAATATGTAAATGATTGCAAATACAGGTGCAGTTTTGATCAAATAATGGTTTTTGTGAAAAACAAGAAATTCTGTGTTCAGGATGTCAATGAAACAAGTTAATCTGGCTCGAAAAGTGTTATTCAACTAACGCAAGCATGAAGAAAATTCTGAAACATCATAATTTGATTAATTTCAGATACCTGACTCATTTCACCCTTGATGCGATTCATCCTATCTGCATTAGGATCATTTGAATAGTAGTCCATCTGTTGACTTAACACCCGAGAAAACTCATCATTCATTGCATAAGCAGGGGCAGTGTGACAAGCATGACGATATGTCCTCACAAATCTTCCATGAATATCCTCAAGAAATGCAAAAGGAATTCTTCCTGTATAAGTCATTCAACAAGTCCAAAATGCCATGTCTTGAAAAATGTCTGTAAAATGCAACTTAATTCAAAAGCAACAATGTGCAAACAAAAAAGAAAATTTTCACGTAAGCCGCTACAGAAATAAACATTTTCATGTTCCCCACTCAATATGTTTAAATATCATATACCTTCTAAATTGCTGGAATTGGCACATTTTGACAGTTTAAAAATAAACATGCAATAATATCACTAGTTAGGACTTTAGGGAACACTATAACAATGGTCCATTCTGAAGGATACAATCAGGACTTTGCTTCATAAAACTTGTTGATGAAAAATATGCAGCATTCATATAATTTTCCATACAACCAATAGGCTTCAGTGGCTTGATGACAGAAAAATCTTGCATCTTTTGCCTCCAAGGATGCTTGTTCATCACTGGTTGTGCATATAATTGCATATATGCCAAAACAACTCTTAAGAATTACTTCTCAAATAAGCTCAATATGTAAGGTTACTCAACACAAAGATAATCCACATAAAATAGAACTCGAGACTGGCATTCAAGAATATGGTTTAAAATACAAGTTGAACCAGTATGTAATGACTGACTTTTACCAATTTGGCCAAGCACTCATAACAGACCATACACCATGGTACAGATACACCACTCATTTTAAATTTTAATATTTTATTCAACGACAACTGAGTGATATATGAATCAGTATACTGCCAACATCCCATTACCATACTGTCTTAACAAGTTGTCAAAAATAGAATATAACATATATTTAAAACCTTGTTCAAGAGAAAATCACCTATAGTGCGGATAACTACTCCTCAAGTGCCACAGATAAATTTACCATTAAAAAAAGAATAGAAAGGTTTGTGGCTTCGTCTCTTGCATAGTGATAATATGACCCATAAAGATAAGTAGGAACTGAACTAAGACAAGTTGAAATGAAATTGATATTTAGCTCATCATGAAGCTAGTCTCAGATGTTTATCTCATGCAAGTTCAAATCAACAAAAATAATAACTTCGAAATCATCTTACAAACATGTCACAATGTCAACATCCCCAAAAGTCAAATCATATATGCTAAATCATCAGCTATGCAAATTTACAAGTAACAAAAGAGTTTGGTTGCCAACAAAACTGCAAAAAGAACAACAATTACAATCCATAGTGACCCATCTATGTGGGTTTGGCTACATGATGTTCTTCCACCATCAAATTCTGTTTCGGGCAATCACTAATCAGAAAATTCTGAGATGGAGTCTTGATTGCGCTAAATATTCTGGTATCGAAAAGGTATAAAGATATCAATTAGTCATCAGCTACGCATATACTTTGCCACCATTGAGCTTTGAACTTCGCTAAGGTTATTGTTACTAGTAGGTCACTCCCAAGCAACCTCCTAACCAACCCTGTGCTCTTCAAGGCATCGTGTTGACCTCACACAGAACCAATAAACCCAAAATAATTTAGTATGAACTACTCGAGCACCACAGTTTTGGAGTCAAAGAAAGACCCATAATTCCATGCAACCAAGAATCGGCACTCCTAAAATTCTTACAATATAAATACTCACAATGAAAGAAGGAAAATACAGCCTTCATCTTGGGTACATATTGCAGAGTGAATATTAATGCCTTTTGCCATCTTTGTTTAACTTAAAAGTCAATTATAAAAGAAACTATCTATAATATGAAATATAATTACATATCATTGCTCATTTTTGCACTAGAATGCAAAAAATATATTGTCCTCACCCATAAAATCAAGTATCAGGCAATATAATATATTATCTAAAGCATAATTTTGTCTAAAGCAATAGTAGACATACATCCCCCCTATAACTATGAATCTATAACTTAACTTTTTGACTTTATGAAAATCAGCCAATGGTATCATAAAAACATTATATCAATCGATACTGAAGATGGTTGTTGGACTTGAGAATAGCATTCTGCTAGAACTTCAACAAATCTATGAGTACAAGGCATCATGGTAGATATGTGTGGAAACGCCCAAAAGTATCAGACATATCTAAGGGGATTATGTTGAAGCAGCAACAAATGTAGGACTTCTTTGTATCATCAAATCTATAGAAGTAGTCCAGTGATGGTTCCACTTTGTTAGAAAATCCAAATCATTATCAGTATTTAACTGATTGAGAAATTAGTTGCAAGATTGATGATTAATTGTTAAACAAGTTTAATATATTTCTTCACATGGGAAGCAAGAAAGAGACTTGTGCTGACCAACTATAGTATGATGAAAAAAAGATAAAATTTCGATCTCTTGAGTGTGCTCGAGTTTCAGTCCTACACTCATGATCTGTATTTAGATGTTAATTGGCCAAAGATGTCGAGACCACTTTTATAACAAATATGACAACAGAAGATCACCTTTCTTGCATTCGATCTGTCTACGGGGACCGGGTAGCTTTTATGGAAATAGGAAACAGTTTCTTTCTTGTTTCAGATTGCTCCCTTGGGCGATTAAACCTAATCCAAGATTTGTAATCTTCGAATCTTTTGATATTGTTTCATCAAGTTAATTAATGACGAGATTTTGAACATGGAAGGCCTGATCACGAAGATCGAGTTCTTTTCCGATTTTATTTGGCTTTCCAAGAAAAAACCTTAAACATGATCAAGATCAATCCACAAACAACCACCGGCGTAGATTTCGATGAAAAAAGAGGGGATATCATGGATAGAAGACATCGGAAGGATATGAAGGATAGAAGGAGGGGGGACTCACTGCCGGCGGTGTCGTCGGCGACGCAGAGGACCGTGATGCCGTCGGTGCGCTTTACGTGGAAGACGTAGCGGTCCTGGGAGTACGATACGTGGGTATCGGTGGCACCGGGTATGCGCTCCAGTATCTGCCGCGCCACGGCGCTCGCGTTCGTGGTGGCCCCGCTGAACTCCGCCAACACCACCGATCCCCGCGCCACCAGAGCGTAGAGGATCGCCATCTCCTTGTCTCCTCTTCTCCTCTTTCTCCCTCTGTGTAATTAATTTCACCTAATAATCTCAAGAGTTGACGAGGGGAAAAAAAAAGATGGAAAGGAAGACGGAGAAGGAAGGAGAAGGGAAGATGAAATAGGGACGGAGATGGAAACAACCAGGGCGACGTCACGGTGGGTTGGGCTCCTTGACGGGGATTTACAACCTGTACGTCTCAAAAGCGTATACAATCAACTTCTAGCAGTGAAGGGAGACATGGGGTCCATCCAGATCATGCATACCCTTCATTGTCGAGGACGTACTCGTGGGTCCTTTCTGTGGGACGCGAAATTATACTCGTGATTTTGGTAAATCATCAATCACAATCGAACGAGAATGGCGCGGCGGCATCAGCGGACGGTCGAGATGATAAAGCGGTCTAAACGCATCAATACCCGTGCTTGATGACTTGTACCCGTTGCTGCCACTGCGTTTTAGACCGCCACCCGTCCCGCTTCGGTGCGTTAGAATCGACGAATCTACGATGGAACGGTCGGACCAGAAATTAGAGCTTTCGATTGGCCCGATCGTGCCCGGCCCAGTAGCTGATTGCTTGGACCATCGTTCTTGATCTACTCCATATTATGTTCATCAAACTCCATATTGCATATTTGCACATACTAACCAAAACATATTACAGACCTCATCTTTCTTGATCTACTGAGCAAGCGAAAATTAACAGCAGCAGCAAAACTGGCATTAGGAAGAAAAAGAGGAAGATCTTGATTCAGCCGGAAACCTCCAAATCTCTCACACCAGCTTTATGTTGAGCCTCCTCAACCACACCGAGTGCAGGATCATATGGAACACATCAAACCTCTTCGCTGGTTGGTTCAACACGAAGTGGCGCTTCACTGCCTTCACCCCATCCCTCAGCTTACTCAGCTCCGCCATCGATACGCCTTCCAGGACTTGCTTCAGCCTCGGTATGTCCTCCACCGCGACCGACACCGAGAACGACTCCCACCTCAGCACATCGCTGAACGGCAGCACGTAGCTCTTCGATATGATCACCGGCACGCACTCGGCGTAGATGGCCTCCACCACCCTGGGGCTCGCCACCTCGTACCCGCTCGGGCAGAGGCAGAAGCGGGACCTGAGCATGAAGGAGTAGTAGTCGAGGCCGTGGGGGAGGTACTCGTGAACTGGGAGGCCGGCGTCGCGGCCCTTCCAGTGGCGGAGGAGGAGGTGGCGGATGGGGCCGTGAAGGCCGCCGGCGAAGAAGGCGAGGTAGGGGCGGGAAGCGAGGCCGGGGAGCCGAGGGGCCAGGAGCTGGCGGGGGACGTGACCGGTGTATAGGTTGATCTCCGGGATGCTGACGTCCTTCCGTGGATCGAAGCCTTCGGAGGTGTTGGCGTTGCAAAGGGCTCGGATGGAGTTCTCGTAGAGGTTAGGATTGGATCTTGATGCATGAGGACCCTAATTCACATTGGAAAACCTTCTCATATTATTATCATCAAGTATATTTCACAAAATAATATATACATAATAATTAACTGTATTATGCACAGAACTGACCACTTTATTAGTTCTCCTAATCGTTTCCTAAATGTCACATGATGTTCATGTCCTTATAGGCTTTATTGTCTTTTCGTAAATCTATTTACATTCCATTATATATTTATATAAAATTAATACGCTTGGTTAATTCCCTGCTTTGGCCGTTGGAACTTGGTAGATACCTCATCTCCCTGGGGCTTCCAAGACTCTTGGGTGAGGCTCAAGGGATCTTACCCCTCGAACAAGAAGAGAAGAAGTTGAGAGCTAAAACGCATGCGTACGTACCCAGTCATGGCAGGAGAGCATGAAGTGATCGGCCCCGGCGGAGCGATTCCAGAAGGGATGCTTCGACGCGATGACGTCGACGTAGTCGGCGACGAATCGTTTGAACGTGGTGTGGTCGTACGGCGACGGGCGGTGGATGAAGTGGACCATGTTGGTGACGCTGAAGGGGAGGAAGAACGCATGAGCTCGCGCCGGATCCCATGTCCTTAGCCGTCGTCTGCTGCCGGAGTCCGGGCGGGTGATCTCCATTTCCTCTATGAACCTCCCCTCGGTGGTGTAGATGTTCTTGCATGGCCCCTCGTGCACCAGCGGCGGCTCCCCCTCTTCGTAGACGTACACTCTGAACCTCCTCTCCATCTCCGTGTAGCTCCTGCAAGCAAACCAAGGGAGAATTCACAGATTAAAATGATGTCGACTCCAGTGAGCATAAGCAGGTAATGATGGGGGGGGAGGACAAGATCATTCTATCTACGTAAAGCAGAAGCGTTTTCACCGCGCGTGGGAAGGGCATTACTTATCACCGTACTGTTCTCTTTTGGGAAAACAAAAGGCTTTCTTATCGCTATAAAGAAGGATCAATTTCGTTAGAAAAGAGAAAAGGGACGATTTACAAGTGTGGTAGTAACATATTATCTTGGTCTTGTTTCGTTCCATCATTACAAGTGCCATTTAGTTGTGGAGGCGTCAAAGGAAAGCCTACAATTGCCAGGGAAACAGTGTGGGAATTCCAGGAGGGATTAGGTGAGTTGTAGACATACCGGAAGAATGCTGTGGGGTTCCGGTAGATGGTAGATAGTAGAGGCACGCCTTCCCCGTGAGCAGGAACCGAGGAGGCGTTTGCTCGTCGGGAGGCAGCTCTTCTGATCGCCGCCCGTGCCATGGCCAGTTCCTCTTCCACCGCGCCATCATCGCCATCGCTCTTTTTCTTCTTCTTCTCGTTCTTCTGCTTCTGAATTCCGGCCCGCAAATCGTATCAGAGACCGTGGTAAATGACAACAACGATTCAAGAACTACCCACCTGACGGTGAGTTCCTTCAGAATGAACGGTATGTTCGTCGAGAAGACTGGCATTAGAGGCTAGGTTTTGCGAGGATCTACCGATCGGCGTGGCCGGCGGCGAAAGGAGCATAGAGTCGGCGAGGCGTAGCAGCTCGACAGTGGCAGCCGAGGCTGAGGGGGCAGGGATACTGATCGGACTCGAACAGTGGTTGAAGGCAAAGAGGAGGAGAATGACAGCGGAGGAGACGAGGGTGACGAGGAGGGCATGGCTCCAGTAGCCATGGCCGCGGCATTCCATCCCTCGACTGAGAGTGCCAGAAAGAACGCGGAAAGGGTTCTGTGAGGAATGGAGCAGGGGAGGACGAAGAATAAGTAAGGCTTTAGGTGAGGAAGATTCACTGGTTGCTGATTCTTTGCTTGCAGGAATATGGAGATTCCTAGCCTCCTCCATGAAGAGAAGAAGTGGGAGGCCAACACGGGCCTGTGTGTTTTGTGACGCGCTGTTGTCCCTAAAGCATATGCTCTGCTCTTTGCTCCCTTCATAGTGTTGAGTAAATTACACGAGCTAAGGTTAGAGTAGGACACAAGTAATGATGGGGTAGGATGAGCTTCCAGAATGCAACACCATGAAAAGTAAAACCATAGAGTGTAACGCGTTTTGGTTGTGTTTCTGATCAAACAATTACATATTAATTCATTGTTTCAAGATAGCTTTTTTTCATTAAATCAGAAAGATGTATTGAGACAAAAAAGATATATGTATAGGGAGAGATGAGAGTAAGATTTTATACGACTACGAAGCTGTTATACCTCTCAAAAATGATGTTATCCTGACGAGCGTGTTCGGAGGAATCATAGGGGTTGATTCAAGCAGACGGTACCAGAATTCTTATTTACTACTCTTTCTTTCTTGTGCTGCAAAGGAAGCTTCAACAAGAAGATATATTTGAAAGCACCGGAATCATTCATGTGCCAGAGCGTGTGATCTGTCATTCTGCGGCGGATGATGGAGAACATTTGTTCTTCGAATTTCTCGCATTTAAATCTTAGGTGCGATGTTCAAGTTGATTGCTCTTCTTTTTTTTTATAGAGGACTCTTCCTAAGTCGAGGGATCCTATAAGATGATACTATAAGCAATATCGATAAGACACATTCGATATTTGAGTCAGAGTTTAAGAGAATCTACTTAGTTCAAAAAATTCGTTACAAAGTCCTTAGAAACAAATCCAGCTCGCTCAATTACCTGAATCACTCGATGACAAAGATTTGACTTAAACAAAAGTTCAGCTGCGTTGCTATGAAGTTAGACAGACACTGAGGACATCTTTACAAATATATTGACAGTGTAGAAACGTAGACTTGGATATGAGTTGCACACACGCCAATTAGAACAAGAACAGAGAATCTATCCCCATCATTCCCTCACCTCCTCCCATGAGCAAGACCGCAGGAAGTTGAGGATCCATCTCCAGCTCTTTCCTCAGTTCATCCTGTAAGGTGATATAGGCATCTATACTTCCACTCCAGAAGAAAACTCAGTAGGTGCACGATTAACTCTGGACAAACCTTGACTAAGACTGCTCGACAGAAGGAAGGTCTGATGGGCAAACCGAACACACGGATCCGTGAAGGCTCTAGGCCATCCGCTGAAGCCCTCTTTGATACTTCCTCCGGTGTGGAACCTGAAACAGCTACGGTTCTTCCATTAATTACAGGTCGTATACAGAGATGGCAGCATGAGCTTGGTTAATGTGGTTGAACGCACCATGTAGGGTGGCAGGTGCCGAGGTCAGTGATGACAGTCTCAAAAATAACTCTTTTCTGAAGGTTCTGCCATTTCAGCACCCACAAAGGAATGTGCTGCATGAGAGGATGGACGCCGATGATGATATCAGGCTTGTACTTCTTCAGACCGGCCTCCATCTTCCTTCACTCGTAGATAATGCATGGATTAGAATGTGTCCGTAGTTGTTTCTTCGTCATTAGCGTTGATGGAGAGCACATACTCCATGGGAACAGTCCTTACTTGGCGTGGAAGGCTGCGATGGCAGCAAGATACAAGTTATGAACCCATCGAGGAGAGGTGCTGTGAAAGGCCACCTTCCATAATTGCACATGCTTCACCATGAACTTGTAGGACCTCTCCATATCGTTCAGCGGCCATCCAAATCTTTCACAAACACCTGCATATGAAAGGGAGAAACATACATCACATTGTATGTGCTCTGATTCATTAATTGGTTGTTCAGGAAGAGGCATCGCAAGAAGAGGTAATCAGACGAGAAATCGAGATTAACAAGAAAATATTCAAATTAGAACACAGCAAGCATTAGGTCTGAGATCTTTGATAGCAACCTGTACACTAAACCTATGGCTTAGCACGGAGGACGACAAGGAAAGTGAAGAAATCAACGAGGGAGGCCTACCCTGTACTCATCCCCGAACTCGATACGGAAGGCATCACGAATGGCCTCCGCAGAAGCCCGGTGACCGCCGCCGGTGTCGCTCATCAGGATAAGCACGTTCTTGGTCCGCTCGGCCCCGATCTGGGCCAGCTCCATGGTGCCCTCCTCCTCCTCCTCCCAGAACCCGATGTCGCCGTCGTCCCCGACCGCTGAGCCGCCGCTTCCATCAGCACTGCTCCACGAGAGGCTCTTCCTCTTCCGCTGCTGCTGCTGGGCGTGGTAGGCCGTCACGCTCTGGATCACCACCTCACGTATGGACAGCCACGGCGACTCCACTAGCACTCCCATGGCTCACCACCCTTCCCCTCCGCCGCGTGGTGGTGGTTGCGGCAGAAGGTTGAGGAACGATCGGAGAGAGCCGCCAAGTCCGAGCGCTTCGGCGATGGAAAACCAAAGGTGGTGGTGTTTGAAATCGTGGTATAGGTCGGACCAACGGTCGGGAATAGTAGTGGGAGAGCACGAGGCGAAGGGAGAAGAGTAGGCCAAGCTGGCACAACGAAGGCCAATAATTATTACTGCTCCATGCTAAGAAAGAGGGATAATTCCGGGAAATATGGCCTATTAAATCGTAAGAAAATGTGGTTGGGGAAATATTGCAGATACCCCCTTGATATTTTTCTGATACATGAAGAAAGCCTCCATGTTTCTACATCACAACCGACAATTTCAGCTATATCGAATTTGGAATCAGAATCAGAATCAAAATTGATTTTGATTGTCAATTCAACAGTTTCGATTCGAGAATGATAATTTTGATTTCGATTTCAATTATTAGTTTCGAATCAGAATAACATATTTTATTTTTATTTATTCTGAAATATCTTTTTAATTAGTCATTAACTAAATTATTAAAAGGGATAGATTCATTAGTTAAGGGATATTTAGGTTTTTCTATTTTTATTAATTAAAAATTTTGGTTTCAATTCTTGACCCATTTGATTTTGATTCAAATCAATCATGATCGAGATAGCTCATACTTTATTTTTCTATAAAAGGATTCTTACTCCTCTTTTTCAATAATATACACTTAACACCCAAGAAACTTATTATTCCAATTATATTCCACTGTGATCTTTAAAGATAAGTCTAACAATATGCTAATTCATTTATAAATATATATTATATTTTTTTTTTGTTATTTGGATAGATAAATATTTTTGTACACGTCAAGCTAGATTAGCTGAACGATAAAAAGTTCAAATATAGAGAAACTTACATATAAAAAATTAGAAATTAAAATTTGATCGGAGAAGATAATAAAGAATATATATATATATATATATATATATATATATATATATATATATATATATATATATATATATATATATATATATATATATATATATATATATATATATATATATATATATATATATA